CTGATTTTGCATTTGATTCCACTATGGTTGTAGAATACATTGTGTAAGATTCCAGTTCTTTTAAATGTGTCCTGGTTTCTATGACACAGGACGAGGTCCATCATGGTGTACATCGCCGCACGAGGAAAGAACGAGTGGTCTGCAGTCATATGAAGCACTGTCCAGCTGGTTGGATGGCCCTGTTCAAGTGTTTGAGAGAACGTCCTTGGTTCCACTTCTACTTGTTCTGTCATTTACTGAAAAGAGAATGCTGGATTCTCCAGGTGTAATCATGGATTACTTACCGCTACCCCACAGTTCCATCAGTTTTCATTTTAAGTGTTTTGAAATACTGTTATTAGGTGAATAAACATTTAGACTGTACTGTTCTCATGATGGGTGGACTCCTTTAGCATTAGCAAACAACTCTGTGTTCCTGGTAATATTCTATGCCCTGAAACCTACTTTGACATATTAATAGGGGCAGTCTCACCTTCTTTGCTTAGTGGTAACACATGTTTTTGCTTTTAATCTATTTGCATCTTATATTGAAAGTACATTTCTTTTAAGAGCATATAATTAAAAAAAAATCCAATTTGACAGTCTCTGCCCTATAATTGGGTATTTAGACTTATTTATATTTTGATTATTTATATATATATGGTTATGCTTAAATCTATTGTCTTGTTAACATTTTTGGTATTTATCTCATCTATTCTTTGTTTTCTTTCCCTCCTTTTCTTTTTTCTTTCATGTTACTTGTATATATTTACGATTTCATTTTATCTCCTTTGTTGGCTAATCAGCTATAGTTTAAAACTTTAGCGATAACTTCAAGGTTTATGGACTACACTTTATCACAGTTCACCTTCAGATGATATTTTATCACTTCAAAGAAGTATGAGAACCTAACAACAATATTTCCTCAATTTCTCTCCTCCCAACCTTTTTGCTATTGTTAGCATACATTTGGGCTTTACATATGTTACAGGCTCCATAGTACACTGTTATTATTTTTTGATTAAACAGTCAATTATCTTTTAAAGAGATTTTAAAAGCAAGGATAAGAAAAAAAACACCCACATATTTATCTATGGAGCACTCCCTGGTGCTCTGAACTCCTTTGTGTCCATGAATGTTTCCTCCTGGTATTATTTTCCTTCTGCTCGAATGGCTTTCTCTAACATTTCCTGTACTGTGGATCTACTAGTGACGAATTCTTTCAGTTTTACATGTCTTTAAAAGTCCTTATTTTTCCTCCATTTTTACAAGATATTTTCAGTGGGTCAGAATTCTACATTCAGTTTTTCTTCCATGATGTTGAAGATGCAGTCCCATTGTTTTCCTGCTGTCACAGTTTCTGACAAGTGATCCACTATCATCCTTAGCTTCTCTGTTTCCTTTCTTATCCACTGCTTTTGAATTTTAAATTTGTTGTTTTTTAAGCAATTTGATTATCAGGTGCCTTGGTGTAGTTTTCTTCATGTTTCTTGTATTTGGGGTTTGTTGGGTTTCCTGGATCTGCAGGTTTATAGTTTTCATCAAATTTGAAAATTTCTTAGCCATTATTTCTTCAGATTTTTTTTCTGCCAGCCCCCTGTAGGGGCTCCCAATATATGTATAGTTAGTCACCTGCAGTTGTCCCACAACTCAAGGATACGCCTTTAGTTTTATAAAAGGTTTTCTCACTGTGCTTCATCTTGGAGAGTTTTTATTACCATGCCTTTAAGTTCACTAATTTTTCTTCTGCAAAGTTTAATTGGTTGTTATCCCATACTTTTCATGTCACATATCAGAGTTTTCATTTCTAGAAGTTTGAGCTGGGTCCTTTTAATATCTTCCATGTCTCAGTGGAGCTTTTTTATGTGGAACAGACTTCTAATGACTTAATGTCCTTGTCTGCTAATTCGAACACCTGTGAGAGTTCAGAAATTCCCCTCTCATTTTGGATGATATTTTCCTGCTTCTTCATACATCTGGTAATTTTTGATGGTAATAGTGAGTGTAGAGTAACATGTTGTATGGGTAATTTGGGAAGAGACCCTCTGGGGCTTCCCGATGGCTCAGGGGTAAAGAATCTGCCTGCAATGCAGGAGACACAGGTGATACAGGTTTTACCCCTGGGAAGATCCCCTGGAGGAGGAAATGGCAACTCACTTCAGTATTCTTGCCTGAAAAAAGCCCAAACCCTAGAGAAGTATGGTGGGCTACAGATCACAGGGTCGCAATGGACACAGCTACGCACACACCTCTGGGACCCGATTCCTTGGAGATGACGGGGCACTGAGACTACAAGGGCTCTCTCAGTGTCCGGAGACAAGCCTGCATTGAAGTGCCCCACAGGGTACACTCCTGCTTCAGCCAAATGGCACACGGCCCTTCTGAGCCTGTAACGCTTTCTAGAATTTCCCTCCTTCCTTCTTCCCAGACTGAGCCTACTTTCTCTAAGGCTGAGGTAATTCCTGCTTCCTGAATCCTTTAGGAGCCCCTCACACAACGGCATGTAGTGTGTGCTTAACATATGCCTGTGGGGTGAGAGGAGGCCCCAGACTCACCCCTCAGCTGGGAATGCAGTCAGAGTGGGGCCCATACCTTCTCCACTCCTGGGGAAGAGCCCTGAGAGTGGGCAGTTCCCCAGCACAGGGACAGCTGAGAGTGCTGGGGTGCTGGGATGCCTCACCTGTGCCTCTGTGCAGGTTCCTTCACCCCAAGGTGGGCATCCCTGTCACGAACAACATGTCTTCTGACCCTCATGGTGGCCACGTCAAGGAGCCACTCCAGGAGCTCTGAGATTTGCGGGAGGCACACAGCATGTGAGTACTCAGAGGCCAGATGCCAGCTGGGTAAGGGAGAAGCAAATTCCCAGAAACACATGGAACTTTAATCTCTCAGAAACTCGGACCAGGGTAATCATGAAAAGGGAGGATAAAGTAAATGACGCTCAGTCTCAACTGGAAATGTTAAAAACATTTCCTAGTGGGATGACTGCCTTTAAATAAACAGGTGCAACAAGCTGGTTAAGGCGCTAAGCCATAGGATGGTCCCAGCACCTGCAGGCATTTACAAGAACACTGCAGGCTAGGGCATTTCCAGCTGGGCCCGGAAACAGCTCCTCAAGCATTATTAAATGTGTAATTCCTCCAGCATCGAGCAGACATGAACGTAGGCTCCAAGACAGCCTTACAGTACTGCAGCATCTGTGCTGTCGACAAGCCCTCCCATGTTCGGCTCCAGAGACAACCAGGCCCCTGGAGACAAATGTAACCAAGAGGCAGTTTCAAACCAGATCCCTTGCTCTGAAATAGGATGACCAACTGTAAATTCCATGAGAACTCAGCAGCAAAGTGCGGTTCTGAAGGGTCATCTACTTTCACATAAAGAAAAAAGATTAAAAGCAGAAATAGCCACTCTGAAGACTAAAAATAAAGACACTCTCTATTTCCAGGTGCTAAAAGCTACTAAAATACTGATGAGTACAAGAAATGCAGTTGACTGAACATGTTCTGGAGCACTGGTGGCCCTGAGGAGCAGGTTCAGGTGGCCGACCACCACCTTCATGGGCTGGCGTGGAAGGGGGCATCTTTTCTGTCCCTCTCCCCACACTGGGCTTCATGTCCTGGTAGTCTCCCCCTTTGATGCATCCAGAACCTTTGCACATGGTCCCTAATGGCAAGAACAGTGCCAGTGAACTTTTCAACATGTGACATAGATTACAAAGGTATTGAAGTGGGAGAGAAACAAGGTTCTGAAATAACTTCCCCAGAAAAGCCCTTTTCTTTACGTGGTAGCTTGGCTGTTTAGTTAAATTTGATGAAAGGCAAAGTAGAAATGACCAAAAAGGTACAGTTTCCTGGGCCCCAAGGCCAGGCTTTCAGATTGGCAACAAAAGGCAGAGGCAGGCTGGGTAGAAATGAGGTTTTATCGCTACTCCCTTCATGCTAAAATTTCTAAAACTGCTTTACACACTGTGGTCCTGATCTCTGCAACCATACTGCAGGAAGCATTATTACCACAACTTTACAGAGACGCATGTGATGGCTGGGGGAGGTGAAAATGGCTGGCTTAAGAAATCGATGGGAACAGGCTGCATCACCAGTGGTCCCGCGAATGCTCCCTGCACTGCACCCCACCCCACCACTGTCACATGACCAGCCCTCCCACCACATGGCTTCAAACTCGAGAACCCACCTGGCCCTCCTGTCACCTTGGCATCCCTACCCTGGCCCTTCTTGCCCAGTGGTTCTCACCTACGAGGCCACCCCACTCCCTCTGGATGTGAATTCATGTAGCAGCCGGGTCAGTGGCCCCCTCCCACCTGGGTTAACGTTATAATCTCCGTTACACTGAGACACACAAATGAAGCCCTGCCCATAAGATTTCCCCTCTTTTTGAAACATCACCCTTGGAATAAGTAGGTGTGTGTATTCACAGCAGAGGGTTTGGTCCCTAGTGGAGAGTGTTGAGGGCAGGGACAGCTGAGACCTGTAATACCTTTGGCCTTCAGCACAATTCTGAGTACAAGGCCCTGCCAAAGACTTCAGCAGTGGACATGTGACTGCAGGCCTGCTGGTGTGAGGACAGGGGTGGGAAGGTGCTTACTGGGAGTAGAGCTGGAGACGTGGGCTGGGTAGTTACAGCTGAGAAGTGACTAGCACTATAGTCCGAGCCTTACAGGTGACAGCTGGGGCCTCCATGGGACTGTTGCTAGGGTCAGGGCAGGGGATGGAAAAGCATCAACTGGTTGAGGAGAGCAGTCAACAGGGAATCGGGCAGGGTCACTCACTGGCTGGAGGGGTGGTCATGGGTCGGGAAGGGGCAGCACACAGAGACAGCAGGTGAGCCGAGGGCCAGTGTGACAGACCGTGCCCGGGGCCAGGGAAGCCATGCCTTTCCTGGGAGGGAGGGAGGCCGTGGAGGCATGAGGCCAGGAGGAGGGAGCATGGACAGCAGTGCCAGGCCCCCCGACCCACTCTCAGCAGCTCTCCTGTGACGGTGGAGCGGGGGAGACAGACATTACTCACACTGTCCACGGCGAGGATCTTGGCCCAGATGAAGACAAGGAGAGGCCGCAGCTCTCTGGCTGAGCTCTGGAGCAGCTTCAGCACGTAGGGGAAGATGCCCACAGACAGCGCCTGTGAGAGAGAACATGTGAGCCCCACTCTGGAGGGAGCAAAGCACATGGCGTCCTCAGCACGGACAGAGCTGTGAGGGGCAGGGCTGTCCTCCCTGACCTCCAGTTCTTCTCCTGGAAGCGACCCAGGCCTGCCTGATTGGGCTGCACCAGTACACGCAGACCACAGGGTAAGAGACACGCCAGGCCTCTACCTGAGTCTACCCACGACGATTCACACACAGACTCCCTGCTGGCTCCTGGGAGTGGAAGTGGGCCAGCGAGGAGTGCTCCTGTAGTCTTTCTAACTTTTAGGATTTCCCTCTTCTCCTTGCTGAACTATCAATTATCACTCTTGGTTGACAATATATAATGAAACAACTTACATACATCAGTGGAGGTAAAACAACATGCTGAGCTCTCATGTGCCCATCACCCAGCTTCAACGCTGTCAAACCAAAGGGTGCGGTATCCTGGCTGGCCCCATCCACTGTACTCTCCTGAATGTTCTGAAGCCCCCCTTAGGTATCACATGGTGTCATTTGTAAACACTAAGTGTTTCTCTCTAAAAAATAAAGTCTCTTTTATTAAAATATGGCCACATACCATTACCACACCTAGAAAATGAACAGTTACAATTATGCTTTAATAATATAAATCATTCAGTTCATGTAAACTTTCTGTTTCATGAATATTAATTTTTCAAACTCCAACTTTCAAACTTTCATTTCCAAACAGAGCCCCATAAGGTCCACACTCTGCAGCTGGTGGTGGGTCTCCTGAATCCCCTTTTATCTCTAGGTCCCTCTTGATCTCTTTCCCTGGTGATCTGTATAGTGAAAAACTGGGTCACTTTTGACTCTACTTTTTCCAGCGTTTTGTTTACTTCTCTGTAGAATGAATGATAGAAAAGTGTTTCACAGTTGTGCCCAAAACCAGAGTGAAAGGACGGTGAGTGAGGCTTCACAGGCTGCTTCCAGGAGAACAGGCACCACGTGTGGCCAGTACCCAGCTCAGAGGCTGCCAGCTTCCTGGTGTGACAGGGGTGAGCCCCTCCCTAGAGATGTTCTTAAAGGACACCTTCTGTCCCACAGAGGTGATGCCTAGCAGCAGACGGGAAAGGGCCCCCGACAACATGACAATGACGGGGCAAAGAGAGGTCCACGCAGGCCCTGTGGGTTTAACGGCCACCCCCACAGTCATGTTTGGCTGTGTGGTCAAGGACCCTTGATTCCTCAGTTGGTGCCCCTTCCACTCCTCCCCTGCTGATGCCGGAAGCACGCACCAGACTCACTGCCCAGGGACCCAGGTCCAGAAATCTTCCCAGCAAGTCCAGGGCTCTCAGCCGGTGTACTTGGCTCAGCAGCACCTGGAAGGGAGAAGAGGCAGCGTCACTGCAAGGTGCCCCCCGTGACCCTGGATGAGCATCCCAGGGAGCTGTTTACCCGGGTCGGCGGGCCCCCTTTCTCTATGGCTCACACTTTGCACAGGCTGGGAACACTCCATTTCTTCACTAACAGGTAAATGACGTGCGCACTGCAGGAACTATTAGAACAGACACTTTCTAATGGTGTTTAAGAAAATACTCACTGATGACATTGGTCTATTCACTTCTAGGTGCTGTTCTCTAGGTATAATGTCCCCTGTTTGTTCTAAATTCAATGATACTATTGTATTTCTCATCTCCTTGATAAGTAAATGATACACTGTCAGTCTTATTCCACAACCCTAGATATGTTTGATCATATCACTGCCAATGGTAGTACAGAAGTGCATTTCTGTAAATGTGCATAATTCATTTAAACAATCTCCTCGTTGCTAGATTTTTAAATTATTAATACATTTTTGTTGTATCATAGCATTGTAAAAATGCTATGATAAAAACACTAACAGGTACATCTCTGCACATTTACATGGTTTTCTCCCCTCCTTCCTCCTAGGATAAACCTGAGAAGTAAAATTAGAGGGTCAGAGCACCCACACTTACATCACCAGATTGCCCTCCAGCTGAACAAACTTGCCCAGTTGCCCACCTGCCAAGGCTCAGCTGGTTACCAGGCAGCAGGACATATTTGCTCTGGTACTCACAGGTTACACAGGCTTGGGCACATAACTTCTCAGAACTTTAATTTCCTAATTCATAACACAAGACTCAACCACGAGGGATTTATTAAATATCAAATTAAAAGCTCCCAGGAAAATATTAGCCCATGTTACACTATTTGCCAACATGACAGTTAATAATAAAATGCACTTTTAATTTGAATTTCCTTGATTATAAGTGAGGCTGAATATTTTTTCATAGGTTAATTGGCTATTTCTCTAGTAAACCAGCCAGGCATGTCCTTATTTTCCTACTTAAATGTTTGACTTTTTCCTTTTCATATGAAAGGATTCTTTTTAAATGAAAAAGAGCAACCTCTGCCACATGTTTTTCTTTTTTCCTGTGGTATATCAAAGCTTTAAGCTTTAATGGAGTCATTTATATTGACTTCTCTCATGGTATTAACATGGGGATTACGTGTACAGAGTCCTGTGAATGCAGAGCCCTTCTGCCCACTGCTGTTCCCAGCCATCAGGTATGGGGCACCTACTGTGGTCCCAGACATCCAAAGTGGGTATGGGGTACCTAGTGTGTACGGACATGGTGCTGGGGGTGACTGGGAACAGCAGGAGCCCTCCTGTCACAGCAGGAGCCGAGACAGACATTCTGCATCCACACCACAATAACCACCGTGATGATGAACAGATGACCAGGGACAGCCACTCCCTACTCGGGGTCTGAAGGCTTTCCCTTCCAGTGGGCGAAGCGTGGGGTTCCTGGGTTTCAGGTAGAGGGGCTGGTGAAGCAGGGTGTCTGAGGGGAAGTGGGGTGTCTGAGGAAGTCAGGCAGGCAGGCTGACAGGGAGGCTCCAGAGTCAGCTGAACCTGCAGACCAAGCTAAGGGCTTCAGCTTTTCTTCAGAAGAGCAGCAGAGGGGCCCGTCCAATGTGCTCGCTGTGGGCAACAGGCTGGCAGGAGGCTGACTGGAAGGGTGGGATGGGTGGATTTGACCGCGGCCAAGACTGATGGGGAGAAACAGATTCCAAGACAGCCAGCAGGCATGACCCAGAGCCTGCTGGTGGAGGGGGAAGGTGGGTGAGGGAAAGTAGCTGCTGGAAGATAAGGTTTGGAATGCAGCAAGAGAAAAGGCAGGACAGGACAGGCTGGCCAGCCTGGGGCGGTCTGCCAAGGGGGAAGCTGGGTGGAGCAACTGGTGAGGGATGGGACAGGAGGCAAGAGAGAGGACAGGAGGTTTTAACCACGTACCTGCTGGGGGTGGCATGCAGGATCAGCAGCAGGACTCAGGAAGCAAACCTTCTGGCGGCAGGGATGTGGCCAGTGGTGGAGGGACTGAACAGGGGGTGAGGAAATGGTGCCACCAGAGCAGTGGTTTGAGAGGCGCCCCTCTGAGGGCCAAACACAGGCATGTGGGAAGAGGCTGAGGGTGCAGGAGGGTCAGCAGATGGGGGACAGAGGAGGTAGCAAGAGAGGCTGGAGGGAGTGGAAAGAGGGGAGGGGTCCCGGCAGCAAGAGGCTCCCGAGGAGGGGTTCCTGATAGGGAGGCTGGGGAGCTTCCCCACATGGGTGCGTGGCCTGTGGCTGCGGTGGAACCGAGAGCAGGCGTGTCCACCCGGCAGGCAGCCCAGGGGTCAGGGAGGTGGAGGTGACTGGGTTCAGCTACTGAAATGTTTTCTTCCACCGGTTTGGAGCCTGTTTCCACGTCACTCTTTGGAGGCAGATGCTTAAGTGGTTCGTTTTTTGTTTGGAGAAGTTAAGATTCTCTGATAAAGAAGCTGGTGGGAGAGGTTATGTGGGGACTGCTCACAGGGGCCTATCTGAAAGGGACCTGATCCCTCTGTATGTTTAACTCGTGGGTTATCATATGCCACCATGGCAGAAAGGCAGGTGTGGAGGGCAAGGTTAGATAGTGGGAAGGTGCAGGATTTGGAGTCAAGCTGACCTGACTCTCTTACTTCCTGACAGTGTGGCTTAAACCACTACCTTTGGACGCTTCAGTTTCATCATGGAGAAGAATGCCAGAATTAACATGTAATTTCCAGAATTAAATGAGATGCAGCCTGTCTGATGATTGTTACTGTTTCTGTGATGTTACAGCATGATGATTGTTATATTCAGCACAGGATGGCTCCACCTCTCAGAAGAGATTTGACTGACTATTTGTTTATTTGTTTATTACTGTGCTGGGTGCCTTATGGGATCTTAGTTCCCCGACCAGAGACTGAACATGGGCTCTGGCAGTGAAAGTGCCAAGTGCCAACCCTTGGAGCACCAGGGCATTCCCTATTTTGTTTTTTAAAGAAAGTGGAACCGCCGGAGGTTCAAGTTTCTAGGGCAAGCAGGACCTTTCATTATTAGGTTTGTGAAAGGAGGTAATTCATCAAAAATCAAAGACATCAAACACATCTAGCACTTGTAAAGATTCTGTTTTCTGATTCCCTTTGTTATTTAAAACACTGTCAACTTGAATAAAGCTCTGGATTTTCAAGTAAATAGCAGAGCAATTTGCAGTGGAAGAAATGGCAACGTGGGCCAAGAAACCTAACCCGTTGGTAGTTTGTATTGCTTATTTCTCATGTGCACTAACCAGAAGTAAAAGCTCTCCATTACAACGTCTTATTTACAGATGGCAAAAGTAAAATGGAAATCGTCACCATCACTACTGCAACTCCATCTCTTCCGACTCTGCTGTCCACATTGATGAAACACACATTAAAGCACCAATAGACAACTCACTTGTCTCAGAGACTCAAAGACCGTTAGCAATGCAGGATTTTGTGCTGTGGGTATTGATGTTTTGTTGGAAAATAAACAGCATCAATAATGAGCCCTGGGGAAAATGTCAGGTACTGGCTTTTCTAAACGTTACACCTTCCTTCCAATTCCTTCTGCTGATTTACATTTTAAAACAAAATTGAGGGCCAATATAAATTAAAATTACTTTTTAAAAAAAAAAAGAACTGGCTTTTGTTTGTTTGTTTGTATTTGCTCTTAAAAAAAGAAATTCCTGTTTCAATGTGCTTCAGTCCCTGGGGAAATTACAGAGATAAATGTTGGAGAACTAAATTAGTTACTAGGATTTCTTTCTGTCTGTGGCAACCCAAACTAAAGATTAGCAGTGGTGACATCAACACTGAAACTAAAACAGAGCTGATAGGGCAACTAATGTTCATGCACCTTGCACACAAAAGGCACACGCACACTCAGGCTTCTGGGCTGAGACAGCTTCTGAAAATCCAGATTCTCAAGCTCTAGTTCTGGCCTGGTGCACCCGGGAATCTGATGATCAGAGATCCTGATCATTACTCAATGACCCTACATTACCCAATGTAGGTAATATGTGTAGTAATAATAGTCCACTTACTATCCTGCTGCCATCCAATAACAATGCTGTACTTTCAGACCAAAAATTCTCTTTGTAGATGATGCCAGGGAAGCCAACAGGGTTTCCTAATGAAATGCCCATACTGACTTTGTGGAAAGGTCCTAACACGGAATCTTGTAAAATGCCTCTCTTTCCTCTTTCCCACAACACTGATTCTTCCCACTCTAACTTGGGCTTGTTTGTACACAGGCCACCAAGGGAGGGCAGACAGTAATGTCGAGTCCAGGCAGGGCTGTCAGACCATGAGACCACAGGGCCAGGCCTTGCGGTGCTGCATGGCTCGAGAATCTGCCTTCCCATCCTTGATTTATATTTTTAAAAGGTGAAAAAGGACGTCAGGGCTGGTCAGGAAAAGTGTAGATTCATGCTTACATCTACACAAGGGGCTGTAAATCTGCTGCCCTAGGGGACAGTTCATTTTATTCCAATGGTCCTCAGTGAATGCCTCTGAATTTTCGGGTGGACAAAATGCTTGCTGGTGGTGGAAAAAGTAGCAGGGATTGGAAAAGCTGTAATGTCTCTGTATTAAAATTCTCTCTCAGAATGTTGAAATAAGTACATACATGTACAGGATGTGCTGACTATTTCAAATCATTAGGGAAATACCAAAATTACCTAATAAATTATGTTGGGATGACTAGATAATTATCTGGAGGAAAGGTGGATTAAAAACAAATAAAACAAAATAAAATTCTCTTTCTTTTCAGCAACATTTCTGAATTGCCAAGGTTCTGGGGATAAGTGATAGATGATGGGGCCCGGGTTCTGGCAAAATAACTGAATTAAAGAGAAAGAAGCGGATACCACGGGCTGCCCCAAATGAAGCAAGGGCTCCTTTGCACTGTGTTGGGTTTTCTTGTTAAGTAAAGGTTCCTGCACTGATCCAGGCGGGGCATAGCCCAGACAGAACCCCCAGAATGATGAGGAAACTATGATTTAAGTTTGATGGAACACAGAACAGAAGATGCCCCTTTTCTTTCAGTTATTCCCTCATTTTGGTATTAGCAAGTTGGCTCTTCTCTTTTCCTGGGGGAAGGTGGGTTGTAAATGGGACGTTAAAGAAAAAGTCAACAGGGGGCCGTTTACAATAAGGTTGTTTGCCTGGCTGGTTGCAAAGTGCTGGGCAGTGTGTCCCTGCTTGGAAAGGTTTTATCCATCCCATTATTGAAATAATAGAAAGGTCAGTGGAGACCAGCCACAGTCTCCTCTTATGAAAATTTGGGGGACCCTAGTTGCTAGGGAGCTCAGCACACCCAATCAGCCACTGCCATTCCAAAGCCCTGCCTGTTGGCCTTCCACTTGATGAGAACTCGTTGGCTCCTGCCAAATAGACAGTGTTCTTTGTTGTGGTATTATTGTTGCTTTTTTGGTTTTGTTTTGAAAATCTGTTGATAGCTTACCCTGCGAACTCAGGATAGTCTTAAACTAATCTAGAAGCACACATGAGGAATACCAATAATTTCTGCATTCTTTTCATAATGTCAGAAAAGCAGCAGCCATAATACATTAAAAACACCAAAATATCTCCAGGGAAGGATCCTGGCCAACAGCCTGTCCCAGCTGATTATCAAGCCGCGAGGACAGGCTGTGTGTTGGCATTTCACAACTGCACACCCTGCTCTCACTGCTTGCTGTCTGGGTCCTGCACACAGTCCTGAGTCCGCTGAGATGTCAGTTCTGTTGCAGGCAGACAACTTTCCCAGGCCGCCATGCAGTAGGCACAGAGTGGGAGAGCAGACCATGTGGGGAGGGGGCCCGTCACACTCCATGTGGGCCAGAGATCAGCTCAGAACACACGCCTGGCCTGCTGAAGACAGACAGTGCTTCTGTGTGATGTGGTCAGTGGCCTGGTGAGAAAATGGAGCCCTCCTGGGGCGGGGGGGAGGAGGGGCAAGGCCTTGTCCTCAGGCAGGTGGACAATTAGACAAAGCAACCTAAGCAGCTTTCTGGGGGAGGAGGTGATGGTTCTCCCAGCCAGCTCTCAGATTTTAAGACCCTGCTTCCTAACTGGGTGAGGATGTAAATGCCCACTCTGTCTGCTGCTGGCCCGGCCCCTCCCACAACTGCCCACAGTTCTTACCCAAGGTTCAACTGCCCCATCCCCACTGCACACAACTTTTTCCAGGGCCTAAAGTGAATTATTAGGCCTTGGTGTCTATACTGACAGTGGTTTTAAATCTCATTTGACACTATCTCAGAGTAAAACAGCCTTGCTTACATCACAGTCTGGTCCCTACACCTGCCCCATAAATATACATTACCTGAAACAAAAGTTCTGTGAAAACTCCTACCTGTGACGAACTTTGATATTTTGCCATCTCAGTAACCCAAAACTTAGCTGGGTGAGACCCACAGAACTGACCTCCCAAACCATTCGTGGGGCACCAACTGCCGCGAGAATAGTGACACGAGCCACGTGGTGACTGCACTTGACAGCCCATAGCACCCTTGGGCACAGCCCCCCAGAAACGACCAACCCACAGGTGCTGACGGCCTGCGTGTGTAATCTGCTCAGTCTCTCCCCTTTTCTCTGCGGCTGATGTGCATCTCACATCCTTCCAAAAAGAAGGGGTGCTGACACCACGAACAGTTCTGGAACAGAGCGCGCTGACAGCAGCTCCGGGGGCAGGGGAGAGAGCGGCTGAGAACCCAGAACAGTGTTCAACTGAGGGAGGGGACAGTGATTCCGCCAGGGCAGCCATGGAGGAGCAAGGACTGCTCAGCTGCAAAGCACGGGGGCCGTCACACACTCAGCCCCGATAAGCCAGTCCCCTCGCTGGGAGGCTGCGGGCTCCTCTGGCTCCCTCCCCGGGACAACCTGGTCCACCTGCAGACACTCACCTGTAAGACAATAGGCAGCTGCTCGGGCGGGTTCCTGTTCTCCACGCCCATCGTGAGCCACACCTGGAAGGCGGTCAGCTGCTCAGCAAAGAAGGGGCTGTGCTGTGGGACAAGCAAGGTGGGTCAGTCAGGGACACCCTTCTTCACCTGGCTCTGCCTACACATATCCCCCATCATCAACTCAGTCATGTGTCTGAGAGGCCCCAACTCTGCTCAGCTACTACCTAGGCGAAAGCCCGCAGGGCCAGGCCATGGCAGAGGAGGTGGTGAGATGTGGTCAGGCTGGGATGTTTCATACAGCAGAGTCAGATTGGGTGTGGGTAAGAGAAGGGTTGTGGTTAGGTTAACGCTGGGGCTCAGGACTAAACAGGCTTCCTTGGTGGCTCAGTTGGTAAAGAATTCCCCTGCAGTGCAGGAGACCCGAGTTCTCCTGGGTGGGGAAGCTCCCCTGGAGAAGGAAATGGCAACCCACTCCAGTACTTTTGCCTGGGAAATCCCATAGACAGAGGAGCCTGGTGGGCTACAGTCCATGGAGTCGCAAGAGTTAGAGACAACTTAGTGATCAAATCACCACCACCATGGATCTAAACACCAGAAAATGTGGTGCCATGAGTTGAGGTGACTTGGTGACTAAACCACCACCACCACCACAGGTCTAACCACCAGGAAATGGGGTCCTGTGACCTGAAGTGGGAAGACTGAAAGCAGCATGTTTCGGAGAAGCACGTGGGAAACCCAACTTGGATGCATTGTGTTTAAGGTGCCTCCTGGACACCCGAGTGAGACATCAGGGGGGTGGGGTGGGAGGGGGAGAATGGTCTACACGGGCTTGCAGTTCAGGACATGGGTCTGGGTTGGAGAGACAGATCCATTTATAATGTGATGAAGAGTGGGGACCCTGGGCTGAGCCCTGGAGCAACCCAAGAGCAAGAGGCCAAAGAGGTGGAGACACTAGGGAAAGGCTTGCAGAGGGAGCAGGAGCAGGCAGCAGCCAGGATACCAGGGAAGAATGATTTAGCGGAAGGCTGTGGTTGGCACCGTCATGTTATGATGTGGAGTGTCAGGCAGGACCAAGGTCCAGGACTGACCACGACATGAGGGCCCTGAAGACTGACTACTAAAAATGTTATGGGGGCCGTGGTAGTGGGCAGAAGCACAACTGGACTAGGTTCAAACAGAAGGGAAGATGATTTAGAGACTCAAGAATAGTTCTTTGTAGGAATCTGGCTGCAAAGGGGAAGGGATTGGATAGGATCATGTGACCAAGCATTTCTTTCTAAAGGTGGGAGAAAAGGGCGTATTTGTAAGAGGGGGAATTGCTGATGGAGGAGGAGGTGCTGGCGAGAGCCCTGGCGGGTAGGCACCAGGGAGCAGGAGCCCTCCGGGAGCCGGAAACAGGACACAGATAGGCGGGGATGCAGGGATGAAATGGGCGTGGAGGGACTGAGAGGCTCCCTCTATCGCTCCTGTCTCTCAGCGAGGTGGGAAAGGGAGCAGGTGCCATGGACAGAGGGCAGAGAGGGGACAGGAAGGAATGAAGGAGACACATCTGGGCAGCTGCCAGGCAGCATTTAAGACCCCTGGAGGGCAGTGGCAAAAGCAGGTTACAGTGGGCTTCCCCAGCCTAACAGCGGGGGTGCAGAGGGTGGCTTGTCCTCTCGAAAGTCCTGCAGAAGGAACAACTTTGGTGGTGATGACAGGGACTAGGGAAACCTCAGATTAGAGGCTCAGGTAGGAGGGGGCCTAAGTCATCGGAAGGGGGTCTGGGGACCAAGAAGCCAAGTGGTAGGACTGCTGGGTTTTCTGTATTACATGGTCATCCCCACTTAATATGCAGCTCTGTTGTCTGTGAGGCCCAAACAGAATTTCAAATCTCTGCCTCCCACCCACTCCTCTCTGCCCACACTGTACCCCAGGGGGAGAGGAAGGGTGGATGGGAAGGCAGGGATGTGGGCTGTGACCCCAGGTTCTGGCACATGTGGACACATGCTCGTAGAGGACTCCAAGTGGTGGGTTGGGCTCAGTGAGGCTGTGAGCCAGACCAGGGCGCTCCTGCCATGCCCTCTGCAGAGGGGCCTGGGGCTCAGAGCCGTGGTGCCCCTCGTAAAGAAGTCAGTGTTGTGTGAGAATTGGGCAGAGAAATTTCACTCAGGAATTCATGTTCTTGCAAAGTCAGGGTACATGAAGTTACTCAAATTTGGAGGGCAACCTGGGGATTGGAATGGAGCCCCCAAAGTGATATTCCTGTTAAGTGTGAGTTATTCACAGATTGGTTTAAAAACAATAGTCCTGTGAAGTGCTCCCTTCCCAGCTGTACCAAGTGAGGGGGACCTTCAGTCTGGAAAGGGAAGTTGGGAAACTCAGGTAATTCCACCTCTTCCCCTTTCCTTCACTTTGGTTTTACCTTGTGGATACAAACATGCGGTTCACTGCTGCAGAAGCCGCTCTGTCCCCAAAGACAGACAAACACTCCTGATCTTTTCACCTAAAGCTGACAAAGAGGGAAAAGCCCTTCTCATTGAAGGGTGCTGTGAGGTTTGTCTTGCTTTTTAAAGCTGCGGAGATGGTGACAAATCAGCTCAGTCCCTAGCATAAGCGTGGCTCAGCATTTTAAGTAACACTTCACAGAACAGCTCGAGAGCTGCCCTGTGAGTGTCTGAGATGATTCACAGAGCTATTGTTTTGGGCAAAATATTCAAGACCACCTCCCGGTGTATCAGAGCTGCCGTGTAGATTCTTGAGGGAAAGACGCAGAGCCTGGGATGAGTGTTCTGGAGCAGCACTCACAGCTTGTGGGTGGAGGCTCTGAGTCATGTGACCACGTGGCCTGGGCCTCAGGGGGATGATTCTGACACAGGTGGTCAGCCCACGTGTTACATGGGTTGGAAGGGGTCTGGAAACAGGTGCCGGGCGTGATGGACTGAGAGCAGAAAGGCCATCTCTGGGCACAAGGAGCCACACCTGACCCTGAGGGCCAGTTCACCCTGTCTTGTGCTGTCACCCTGGGGAGGGAAGATAATTACTTCATATCAATACACTCCTGCTCTTCTTACCGGCCGACCCTGGTCCAAACACACTGATGCTGGCTGTCTCAAAGTAAGTAAGATTTCTTAAACGGGTACAAGCCCTAACCATAAAAGAAAAACATTGGTAAGCTGGGTGTGGTAAAACAAGAACCTTCTGTTCACCAAGTAAACACATCAAACACGTGAAAATGAAATCTACAGCATGAGAAAAGGCATTCACGATGTGTGTTGGGCCTCCCTGGTGGCCCAGTGGGTAAAGAATCTGCCTGCAGGAGACAAAAGAGACGTGGATTCGACCCCTGGGTCAGGAATATCCCCTGGAGAGGGAAATGGCAACCCATCCCAGTGTTCTTGCCTGGAGAATTCCATGGACAGAGGAGCCTGGCAGGCTACAATCTGCGGAGTTGCAAAAGTCGGATCTGACTGAGAAACTAAACTACCACTAGCATTCACAATGTGCAACAAAGGATTTGTATTCAACGTATAAGCAGAACCACTACAAACTGGTAAGAAACATAATGCAAAAGAAAAATGACCAAAAGTCTTGAACAGGCAACTTATAAAAGAGGATATTCAAATAGCCAATAAAGATATGAAACAGGGCTCAATACTATTAACCAGGGAAATGCAAGATAAAATCTCAATGAAACACCATTACATATGGAACAAGAAAAGCCTAAAGGAAAAAAAAAAGGTGGAAAACATCACATGTTGACAAGGACATGAAACAACTCAAACTCTCATATATCGTGGAAAGGACTGAAAATTGACTCACAACCACTTTGGAAAACTATCCAGCAGTTTTCCTACTGAAACTAAAATTATGCACAACTGGTAACTAGAAATATCATTCCTCAAGTGCACACCTGACACTAATGTACCCAAGCACAAGGGATTAACAGCACCTGGCCACACGTGCCCACCCACCTCAGGCCCAAAATTTAAGGGGACACCAAAAAACAGTTGCTGCTGTTGCTAAGTCGCTTCAGTCGTGTCTGACTGTGCGACCCCATAGACAGCAGCCCACCAGGCTCCCCCATCCCTGAGATCCTCCAGGCAAGAATACTGGAGTGTGTTGCCATTTCCTTCTCCAATGCATGAAAGTGAAAAGTGAAAGTGAAGTCGCTCATTTGTGTCCGACTCCTAGCGACCCCTTGGACTGCAGCCTACCAGGCTCCTCTGTCCATGGGATTCGCCAGGCAAGAGAAAAAACACAGTAATTGAGGTTAAAAAAAAAACACTTCATGCAGTATTTAAGAAAATAAAAATAAAGGTAAAAATCCATTATGAAAAAAATTTCAAAATTTCATATAAAGACAGGCCCAGCATGACTGATTTCTCTCTCTGTCTCAGGCTCCAGTGTCTCGGTTGGGCAGCAGTCAGGACAATTCGTGAGATCCACGGGATGGACCATGACCTTTGGGATTTCCGGGCTATAACAGGAATGAGCTACAAGTGCATAGATTGGATAGTGTTGAGTGAAAGCAGCCAGACACAAGGATTCTATTTACCAAAATACAAACTGCACAGGGCAACACGTGCCCCAGGGAAAGCAGTGGCCAGGGTGGGGCCTCAGGGGGCTGCTGACGTTACGATTTGGGTGCTGGTTATGTGACTGCACTCAACTTGTAAATTCATCAAGCTGCACAATACAATGCCTGCAGTCTTCTCTGTGTATGTTATGCTTTTAAAAGAATGGAAACTAAATAAAACAGCCAGCATGTGGCTCTATCAGGAATCCCTCCCCATCACAGTTTGGTGACATTGCTCCCAGAGGCAGATTCCTGAATCCAGTAGATGAGAAATGAGGCTGAAGACCCTTGAAAGGAGGCCTGGCACTGGAAGGAGGGGTGAGGACACGGAACAGTGGGATTTCATTATCCGAGAGTGTGCAGCTCCCACCCCCTGACGGTAAAAGGAAAATCAGGCACAGAGGACAAAAAAAGCACGAGTTGAACGAGGTTCCCAAACACGTGTGTGTGTGTTAACAGGCCCTGTCCCCGCGTAGGTGGAGCTCGTGAGGGGCAGGAGTCCAGGACTGTTCCCTATGGAGACTTGTCACTGCCTCAGGGATTAGGGCCTTCCGGCAACATCAAATACATGGATGGGTGGGAGACACGTGAAGGTCTTGCCAGCGCCCATTTGTGGGTTCAAGATGCAACGCCAGTTTTGGCTTCCTTACAAGTGCATTAAAGGAAAGGTGGGTGGAGGTGGGGGAGCTGCTGGAGTGGGCACCGCAAACGCTGGTGGAGAACCCAGCGGGGGGCAGACGGGATCTTGCTGCAGAATTCTTCCAACTTTGCTGTAGGTTTGAAAACGTTCATAATAAAATAGGAAAGGTTCCAGCAATAAAGGAGGGGATGAAAGATAAGACAAAATTGAGAGGAAGGACCTTGTAGTCCAGGTACCCCAGTCTTGGAGACACTGAAATCATCTGAGGGGTTAACACACACATAAAACACCCCCCTCCCAGGATATGCAGACATGTACACACACCCAACAGAGAACACACACACCCATACCCCAAAGATACATGCAGGCACACAAATATACATGCACATACACCCCTTCCCCCGAGATATACATACGTACACACACACACACACACACACACACCCAGGCCCCTGACTCAGTAAGGTTAAAAGCTTCCCTGATGATCGTGATGTACACTAAGAACAAAAAGCCTCTGCAGTGAGAGGTGGGTGCCTCCGACCTCGGTCAAAGTTGTGTGACTACACCCAAGGTCAGGAACCCTCATGTCCAGCAAGTACCATGTGCCAGGCTCTGCCCTCCAATCCTCACATGCTCCTTGAATGGGATAAAACTATAATTCCCATTTAAAAATAAGGAAACTGAGCTGCCCACTGCAGTCTTTTCAATAGGACCAGAGAAGACGGTGTGGAGAGAAAAAACCAATGACTCCGACCTGCAAGCCCCACCCTCCATCCTCTTCAGGGGATGGCTTGGAGCCACCTGCTGCCTCCCACTCCCCCCAGCCCATTTACCCCCAGTTCCGAATGCCTGCCTGGTCCCTCGGGGGGTCAGAGTTGGGGGGTTTAACTGTGTTCTAACTTGAGGGGTGGTTCTTCTCTTTTTAGTGGGTTTCTTGAGAGAAGGGACTGGGTCTCACCCACATGCACCCAGACGTGGTATCTGATGCACAGCAAACACCCAGCCAATGAGCAAATCTTGAATAAAACCGGGGGCTGCATAGGGAACGGAGGCAAGAGGAGACCCTTGGTGAGCTGCGGCCAAGTCCCCTGGGGAGAGGGAGAGGCAGTTTGCCTCAGGAGCTATGAGTGAAACCAGATGACTCAAGGAGGACCAGACCACTAGCTAGGAAAAGCACCTGGTGATCAGACATCCCCTCAGGGCCGAGAGTCTTGAGCATCATTCATAGTGAAAAGGCTGAGAATCCGGGATCAGGGAGTGCACATTAAGAAAAGCAGACCCAAGACAACAACACTATAGAGAAGACATTTTTAAGAGCTGACCATTTCATAATCTAACTTTAAATAACCCCTGGTTGGTGCAATCATTTAAGCTTCTGGCTAATAAATCTTCTCCCAGGTGGGTGAGGGCTGTCTCTGACACCCAAACAGGGGCTTTGCAGGCCAGGTGGCCAGAGAAACAGCTGCAGGGACCAAGCAGGATGCCCTGGGTCGGGGGGAAATGGGACTCACCCGAAACGCTGTGCCTTCTTCAATGATGGTCGGCAGCTGGGAGAGACAGATGTCCACAGCCAGGTCCCAGGCTTGCCTGGGGAGAGAGCAGACAGGGACCCATGAAGCATTACTGATGGGCTCACCCACAGGGGCCCTGACGGCAGAGGAGCCCGTGAGCGGCTGAGTCAGGGTGGAGCTGCCAGTGGGGTGCACAGGAGGCGAGGAACTCTCGGCTGGCAGCACTCTGAAACCCTTTTGTCGATGACAGCTTTTCTCTTCAAGTTGAAAGGAGAAAGAGCTCAGGAAAAATAAAGGGCCTTGTCCATGTTCTAACTAACAGCTTCCACCCCAACTTGAGCCCACTTAGTGCAGCACCCTGCCCACGCTGATGGCAGCTGGGGCTCTGGGTGGCTGGACTGGGGCGGCATCACACACAAACTGGCCACGAAAGGCCGAGGTCAGGCTGAGGCGCTTCACCAGAGACAGGCCAGGTGGAGCTGGGAGAAGGGGTCTCCCTTGGCCCACAGCTAGAACTGCCCCCCGTCCTTGCGGCCGCTGCACCCCTCTGTGGGTGGTGGGAACCTGTGTCCAGTGCAAACCACTGGGGATGAGACGGGTGGTGCCCTGTATGCGGGGAGGTGGCAGCCTCTTCGATGGCTGGGCCTGGTCACCTTCTCCAGCTTCCTGTGGTGCTGGGCTTGGCTCTGCTCGCTACGAGATGTGCAAGACAAGGCCACACTGGGTCATGGCATCACCTCCCAAGAGTCAGTTTCACCGCCTGTGAGGTAGGCTAAAGATTGTGTCTCCTGTACAGGGTCCTGTGAAGACCTCAGTGGGTGGATGACATTGAGGGACATATACAGAGGCCTGCTGTTTCCCAGCAACATCCAACATTGATTCCAAACTGGATACAAACAAGTCTCTTCCTTTCTCTGTGGTCTCAGTCTCAGTGTGGATTCCCAAGGATATAAAGATTCTCTCACTCAGACCTCCCTTTCTTTTAGAAATGTGCTCCTCTTGGAAGTGATAGTCTGAACAAGGGATTTTGTTTCTGGCATGGCAATCTCCTCCTACTACAATGCCCTGACACATACAAGGATTCCACGTTAGGTTTATTTACACTAATAACTGCCTGTTTGTGTGCAAGAGGTTTCTTTTCATGGGTCTTCATAAACGGTCAAAATAGGAATGAAAAAGGAAAACATCCAGAAAAACAAAATGGAAGATGAATAGAAAGACTAGAAAACTCTTTTTTGAGTATATGGAATATCTTTCTTTTGCCCAGACTGGCCCCTTCTGCACAAGCCTGCCCTTCCCCCTCCAATCTAATTAAGAAGCCATCAGGAGATAATCAAAAGTGCCTCAAAGTATGGGCAATAAATAGCTCCCATATGCTCAATAAGTGCCCAGACTGCAGGCGAGATGGTTATTCTGTGGCGTTGAGGGAGCTGCTTACTCTTTGTTAAGACAGAAGCAAAGTCAATTATTGTAATTAAGCTCTATGAAGATTCATTGAATTTAATAAAATTAAAAGTTTCAACTTCAGGAGTTAGAAGAAGAAAAGTGAGCGCCAGACGGGGGAGGTGCTGTGGGCAGGGGGGTCTGGGGCAGTTGGTGGTCTTGATACAGCCACTTTACTGTAGGGGGGCACCAGGAAACTGTGCCTTCTGTACAGCAGGCTTCCATGCCTTCTTTCAGAACCATCTCCTCAAATTCAGGAGGCAAGAAGAACTGTAAACCATTAATGATATCCCTGCTGGGGTGTCCTAGACAAAGTATCAGAAACTAGGCTGCCCTGGCGAGACCAACTGCCCTCAGACCTCTCCAAAGGGCAAAACAAAACCCGATGAAGCTGCAGCAGGCCCTGGGCGACAATCGCCTGAGGAGTGTGGGCTGTCTGGCCTGCCACTTCCTAAGGGCTGGCCCCCACCTGGGTCTAGCCACTGAGGAGGGTCGAGTCCACTGCCAGCTGCACATTTCTGTGCCAGAAAAGCAGCTCAGAGGAGACTCCTCGCCTGAAAGGAAGGAGGTGTCTTGCCTGCTTCACCGGGAGCAAGGAGGGGCCCTGTCTGCAGGGGCACAGCTGCCTAAGTGAGAGGAGATGGGGACAAGGGCCTCTGTTCAAGGCACTGAAGAGGACAAGGGAGGAGGGAGGATGTGGGGGAGCACTGAAGACCTGCCTGACACCAAGAGGCCAATCAGACTACCAGCACGCAGTGAGGCTGCAGTGAGCCCCAGGCAGGGGCGGGAGAGAGCGGCAGGCTGGCACTGGGCAAGCCAGTCTTTCTTTGGGGCCTGTGGTTGTTGACTGTACAAAAGGAAAGGGTCAGGGCCTCAGAGGACCTCAGAGTTCCTATCAAGCCTTTGATCACAGGGCAGCCTTTTCAACAGCACAAAGGTACACTCTGCTGAGCATCTATTCAGTTGGTTAAAACGGGCTACATTTTCTAGGGTAAAATCAAAACGAACTTAGAGTCTTAATTTGGGATTCTCACTAAGGGAAAGTGGGAAAGCGAGTCCTTAAAACCCTGAGCCATGGTGGGGGGCTGCTGGCACCCAGGCGAGTGCAGAACTTGGGAGGTGTCTGCGTTCGCACTTCCCACAGCCCCTGGGACCAGCCGTGCCAGCTGTACCCCCCCAGAGGGAGGACCCTGGGCTCCCCGCCCCCGAGGCTCAGAGCAGTGGGGCCCTGAGCCGTGGGCTGCCGATGAATCACGGCCTGGAGAACGTGCCATCCAGGCAAGAGCTTGAGTTTTCAGGAAACGGGCCTAAGATGGCAGGTGCCCAAGGAGTGGGCAGTGAGGAGAGCCTTCCAAGAGCACCCGGCTCCATCTGCACTGATCAGTCAGTCAGCCAGGCTCCCTTGATGGGAAGGAATGCACAGGTTATTACCGCGGAGGAACGCAAGGTTTCAGGACCTGCTGAAATTGAAAGTGAAGGCGAACGGCTCCCCGATGGCTTCACATCAAAAATTAAACAGGAGCCGGGCGCTGAGCATTTCATCATCGGCGTCCCCCGCCTGAAGCAAAGTGTGAACACGTATGACTTCATGTTTTAACCTCAATTTTTGTTAGGCCTCCCCCTGCCTCCCCCTGATGAAAATTCAGCCTCTCCATCACCACCCAAGGAACACAGTAACTAGACAGTAAATTATTTATTCGGAATGCTCTTTCCAACAACCTTGGCTGTGCACTCCCTAGGGACGAACAGACTTTGGTCAATTTATCAGGTGGGAGAAAGAGCTGTGGGCATTGTTGTCGAAGGTTTTATCACCTGAATGAGCTCTGCTAAAAGCCCATGGCAATGCTTCACTGGCCAGGAGCCTAAACCTCAGAGGTGGCTGGTGAACCTGAGTGCAGGAGAGCATGATCTTTCTGGTTTCCAGGCCTCACACGCTCCTGCCTTTGCATCACAGCTCTCCCACCTCCCCTAAGGATAGGAGTGTGAGCTGGATGCCTGCTACCCATGACGGAGATCAAAACCCCAGTTTCCATAGACCAGGTGCCACACAGAGCCGCTGGGGAGAGTGGAGACCTGCGATGCTCAAGTGAGCCACTTAGCTATACAGGAAAGAGGAACCAATTCCCTTTTGTAAAGCCACTGGATCTGGTATTACCACCTAACCAGTATTCTTGTAAAGCCACTGGATCTGGTGTTACCAACTAACTGGTATTCTAACCACTACCTCTGTCTACTTCCAGGTGAGGAGGGAAAACACCTGGGAGTCTATCCATCCTAAGCAAGTCAGGGTCCCTTGACATGGCTGCATGCCGTATGCAGCTGCTTGACCCGGCGTTGGTTATACCAAGTATCTGTGGTCTCTGACTTGGTATGAGACAGTTCTGAATGATTTCACAAATAAATAAAGGTTATCACCCACGCTGAGTGCTTTTCTACTCCCTAGATCTACAACACGGTAGCATGGTCCAACTGGAGGGCTTATGAAATTCCTAGCCCAAGTGGCATGACGCTCCAGGAGGAGCCGCTGTCCCTCTGATCAGTGGGGAGGCTCATCCCCTGGAGACCCAGGCTGTGCGGCTGCTTCTACGGAGAAGCCCCATGCTGAGAGGGTGCCGGATGCTCTGGTTGGTCCCTATGTCTCAGGGACTTGCCATCTGGCTTCTGATCGACATTTCTCTCTTTCACTGCATGATGATGTTCCTACAAGCATGTTACTTCTTCAATCTAAAGCCTGATTTTATATTTGATTCCAGATCAAAGTAGGTTAATGGTATAATTTTCAACATTTTTAACGGGCTTGACTAACATTTATCTGGCTACAGGCTCAAGCTGGCACTGTTAGGAAGAACCCCATCGGGGGAGGATGTGTTACATCCCTGTGATTCTCCTCCCGTGAAATCTCATCTCCTCTGATTTCTGTATGAAAAGCCCTAATTTAGACTTACCTATTTGGCATTTCTCAGAATATAAAGGTTGGAAGCCATGACATTAGATTTCAGAAAAAGATCCCCACTTGGAGAACCTTTGGCCATGGACACGCAGAGCAGGACAGGCCATGCCAAGACCTGGGTGAGGAGAGCAGCCTGGCCCCACCCCACCTTTAAGCCCTGCACATGGTTACCAAGCGTTTCAGGGTCCCTGGGCCACCAAGAAGCTGTACTCTCAATTTCAAACTCAGGGCATCCCAGCCTGGCCCAGAGCGCCTACTGGACAGCCTGATGGCTGCATCTGGTCCCCAAGCATTTAGTTTGGCCCTCAGAATGTTTTTTTTTAAAAATGCTATATTAGACACCAACATTTTAAACAAGGAAATTATAGATGAGAATACAGATTTTTGGCTGCTCTTTAAAAGCTGCAGTTGGGGCTCCACGATGTACATGATGCAGCCCGGCTCTCGCCACGCCACCGCGCTCCTTGACAACTCCTCCGCCTTTCATTTTGAGGTCTGTGTCTTCCCCCATCGAAGCCCTCACAGGACAGGAGTGAATGAGGGACGGAGAGATTTCCTGAGGCCCTTCCTTCCACCCCAGGGGAGAAACACTCTGGGTGCCAGCCTGCTCTGCACCCTGCATGTTTCTGAAAAGCCCTCTCTTCATGCCCACACCCCGATGGGGCTCTTCCCATAAGTGGTGGTGGAAACGACACTAGGACCCACACAGTCCAACCCTGAGGCTGTGTCTGCGGTGACACAAGGGCCATGTCTGAGGGCTTGATGCCCACCTGGGAACATACCATGTGTCCAGGCTGGGTCACCAGTGCTTGATATTCAATAAATGCTCAGGCATTACTTCATACCTTTCCTAGAATGGCTTGTTAATGATCTTCACAATGATCTTTACAAGGTCTCCCAGTGCCCTGTGCATAGTGAGTGTGCAACTACAAGCTAAATTAAATTATCGCTGCAAGTGGTGTTCCAGTAGCAATCCCGTGTATAGTAACAAACACAGGATGGAGTCAAACACATCCGAGTGATTTCCAATTTAGGGTTTTAATGAGCTCTTTCCACAACATTTAAAAAATATCAAATACCAAATGAGATCAAGTGCAGGTACTAACCATCAGGGAGTTCTACTAGTTCTACTTTTTTTTTTTCACTCAAAGAAGCATCCAATGATTCTTCTGTCTCTAGTTTTGTGTTTTTGACAAGGAATACCTCAACCTTAATGACTTAATTTTAAAAAATAGCTTTAGTGTTTCAAAGGCTTAAAACATTTACATGTAGATTTTTAATTACAGAAGTAATATCTATCAACTTTTAAAAGAGAGCATTCTCACTCCAATCCTCTGGTTCTGGTATTAACACCATTAGCATCTTGTTATAATTCTACCTAGTCATTTTCCCCATGCATAACGTAGAAGTAATTATATTGCTGATACAGTCTGGTGTTCTGTTTTTGTCATTTAACATGTATTTTGCATAATAATAAATAATCTTGATAAACAAAATTTTAAGATGGCTTGAATTTTTTCAAGTATATGTATCTCAATTACATCCTTGTTCTATTAGGTACTGGGGTTGCCTCTGGCTTCCCTTCTTTTTTTTTTTTTTTTGGCTTCCCTTCTTATAGCTAACATTCTGACAGCTTTCCTTGTCAGAGCCTCTCTGACTGTCTCACCAGTCCCGTTCCTTGGTTCTTCCTCAGCAACCTGCTTAGTCCTCCTCCTGAGCTGGGATGGGTGGATGCAAAGTGGACGGGGCAGCAGGGGCTAGAGTGAAGTGGGAGGTGTCAGGGTCCAACACTGCCAGGTAGGGAATGTGCTGGTCAAGGTCAGGTCAGGGGTCAGGCTGCCTCCCCATCCAGGGAGGTGATCCCAGGAACCTTCCCTCACAGCATCCTTCATTGACCCCCCCTGAGTCCATTTCCCATGGAATCCAGCATGCAACAACCAGAGTTTGCCTAAAAGGGGGCGGGGAGGGTATCAGGCTACAGACAGTGCTTTGCAGGATGGCGGACCATGCAGCCTGAGGGACTAGACTGTACTCAAGTCCTAGGGAGCTTATCAGCTGCAGAGGTACCCTGGAATGTGCAGGCAGGTTGGAAACAGGCAAGCAGAAAGACCCAAAGGTGCATGTATGACTGCTAGCAATTTCACACGCCCTGGGAGACCAAAGGATCTTTCCCTGTGCTTATCTGGGCCTCTGTGGTTGCTGTATTAGCTCACGTTTCTCTTCACAACAAATATATACAAATGAGGACCTGTTTTATGAGATTCAAGGAGAGCTAAACTCGTAGGTGAGAGGGCCATACTCCTAGTTTTCGAGGTAGGCATGGAAATCAATAAAAAAGATGAGCAGGATTATGAGATGCTGTTGTTAGAATCTGGACCTTGTATTAAACAGTATTTATGCAAATTCCAGGATTCAGACATGTTCTAAGAGGCCAATGCTAGAGAAGGATCTGTAGGTTGATGAAGAGAGACAGGTATCACTGTTCCGTTCTGTGCTCTCTGGGTGCCTCCTCTGCAGGTCTCCTTCTCTTGCTGCCATCTTCCCTGCCTGTCCTGTCTGCTCTCAGCTCTGGCTCTGGTCCTTCTCTTCTCCAGGACCACACGCTGTTCATTACTCTGTGCAGCTGAGCACACCTTAGAAGAGGCAGTTTCACATCCAGAGAAACATGCACACAAAGACGACTGTTCCAAAGACTTGCCACTGGGTGGGCAACAAGGTGGAGAGGACTTAGGCTGCTTCTTGCTAAAAGTTGGTGCCCTCTGTCCATCCTGTATTTCCGTCTCCTGGGGGATCTGCCTGGCTAGTAGCCCAAGTGACCGAAGTAGCCTAGGAAGACTTTCACATTGGGTGGCTGGTATGAGGCCCATTTCCTGTGGTTTAAATAGTTTTCTATCCATGACTAGACACAGCACTGACCCTGTTCAGCTCTTTTCCCTTTTTCTTTCCTCTTTAATAATACATATTTTATAAAAATCTGATTCAAAAGTAATAGAACTTAAGGCATCACTTTTTTTTCCCCCCAGGATAAGGCTGTTTTGAGGATCTCCTCTTCCAGAAATGTGGGTCTTCTTTCTATTTATTCATCCTAAGCATTAGAGAGGCTTTTCAACCCCCTCCCCCCAACCCCCGCTCCTAGTTCTAATCTTCACGGAGGGAAGGAAGCTGCATCGGCTGTTCTGCCAGTCTGTTCTCACAGGATCTAAACAGCTGCACAGCGACTCTTCCATGGCGGTCTACTCCTATTCCTCTGTCTTCGTAACTTGTTCTCTAGTTTATGCTACAAGCTCTTACAAAGGATATGGATGAGGCATGTTTTAACTTGATTTCTGTTTACAGTCTGGCGCTTAGGCAGCATAGTACATCTTGATTTATCTCATACATAAAAATGCTAATTTCTGATATTCCTCAAGTGGATGAGAGGTGGGGAGTTTACCACCTCCTTCTTCGTTCTCAGGGTTTCCAGAGTCAGGGGAAAGTGGTCATGCACATATTTAAAAAGACAAAAACCACCACTCCAAATAAACCTGAAAATACATCATAAAGTGGTTTTTGCTGTTGTTCAGAAGCTAAGTTATGTCCGACTCTTTGTGACCCCATGGACTACAGCATGCCATGCTTCCCTGTCCTTCACTATCTCCCAGAATTTGCTCAGACTCATGTCTATTGAGTCGGTGATGCCATCCAACCATCTCATCCTTTGTTGCTCTCTTTTCCTCCTGCCCTCAATCTTTCCCAGTATCAGGGAAGTGGTTTTTAGGGTTAAATAGAAGTGAACTACTCTTCTAAAATATTTTGCATTAGGGTTTCTCCCAGATGGATATAACTAAGACTCATTTTCCTTTGTTACTGCCCCTTTTCAGTACGTCCTCAAACTCTGCTTGTGTCACAAAAGCATGGAAATGGGAAGAAACCAAATGCCTTCAGATATAATGTCTAGATTCAAGACAATTTCCATTGATGTTGTTATAATACTGTGCTTACTACTAGCAGTAGTATAAGGAACAGTAACCCAGTTTTGAAGGAAATTTATAATCAACATAAAAGCGTCATAGAGATCACACTCGTGTGTATTAGAGTATGTGTATACATGCACACATGTATGAAATAAGCATGCAAATGACCTGGTCATGAACCCAGCAGTTTTCCATCTCTGGAGCAATCTTGGACACACTTCATGAACTCAGCTGGCAGTTTCTTTCCTCAGTACCAACCCTTACCGAGTCAGAAACTCACCCCTGGGTCCTCTCCATCTGAGCCATGAATCAGAGGGCCTCTGGAGGCGCTGGTCCCGTTCGGCCTTGGATGACCTTCAGAGACACCTGCCCTTCTGCAGGGGACTCAGGAAGAGCTGAGTGCCTGACCCAGGACTCCATGCTTGGAGGCGTGTCTTCCTATTTTGCTCAGGTAATTTCCTTACACTTGGACTATCTCAGAAATGGGAGGGACTCCCCTGGTGGTTCAGTGGTTAAGAATCCGCCTTGTAAAAAAAAAAAGAATCCGCCTTATACTGCAGGGGACATGGGTTTGATCCCTGGTTGGAGAACAAAGATCACACACGCTGTGGAGGAATGAAGCCCATGTGCCATAACTAAGACTTGATACAGCCAAATTAAAAAAAAAAAGAAAGAAAGAAATGGAAAAACCACACTCCTTAGAGAACCTGACACTGGTCCAGCAAGAAACACTTACCACATGGCGTGCATGTACGTGGGGGGAAGGCGTGGACTGCTGACGGGGGTGCAGTTATATGACCTCATGATTCTTTCTGCCAATAAAAAATTTCGAAACAGACTAGCCACCAATAGGTCCTGTCTGAAGAGCTTTTGGAAGAGATCTGAGGGCAGAGAAAAGATAAGAATTTGTCTTCAGTGACTCATGCCCAGCATTTAAAGCTAAATATACAAACTTACTTCTATCAGAATTTGCCACAAGCAGGTTGGGACTGACATGCACATTTTCCACTGGCAGTAACCTACATCTGTTACATCTGTTACATATGTAAGTGGAACAAACAGCAGAACCCAAGCAACTATCAACAAAAAACACAAATGCTCCTTATACTACAGTAGAAACTGCAGCTGTAAGAAATATTGATGGTGTGTTCCATGAAGACAGATGAGCCTTGAATCTGCCCTGAAAACACTAAGGGCCAAAGCAGATGCTTCTCTAGACGCACTTCATCCTCGAAGAACCTCTGGGGTTCCTGTCCTCTCCCACCCATCCCCTCTGGTTTCTTCACTGAGGGGAACATGGTCCTCCCTTCTGACGTCTCTCACATCCCAGGGCCAGAGTCTCCTGACTCTGGGGCAGCAGCCCTCCCGCCAGCCCACGGCCGGGCGGCCTTACCCCGAGGAAGCACGTTCCATGCAATTGTGTCCGTGATGGCTGTGAAGATCCAGTTCAGCTCGCCCAGGGGGGTCCTCCTGTCATTCAGCCGCCCAGGAATCCTAGAAAACACAAAACAGCCACTGCGACAGAAACAGGTGATGGAGGCAGGAGGAGGTGGGAAAAGAAGGAGTGAGGGGACAGCACATCAGACCAGGGGTGGGGGAGGCTTAGCCATGCTGGGAGGACCTCTGTGCCTCGCTGGGATTTTTGAGACTCCTGAGCATCCAACCTCACATCTTAAAGTTCAGCCTCCACTTCACTTTCTTCCCCTCCCCATCTGCACAGAAGGAGCAGGTGTGGCCTCTCCAGCATTCATGTGCGATGGCAGGTGCAAAGCAACTCTTGACCACAGGAGCCCCTGGGGCCCTGCAGCTCACCACAGGCTTGCTCTCAGCCTTTGGGTGGACTGGCCCTGTACCCGAATCAAGACACTCCTATCGGGCCCGCCACAGGTCACTTCCCAGAAGCCAAGGGCAAAGGCCAGACCTCCTCTGTGGGCCCAGCTCTTCACCATACATTCACCTGTTCAACATCAAACAAACTTACTCAGGCCTAGATTCTACCTCTTAAGTTTACAGGGCAAGCATCGCTGGGCTGAAAATGCCAGCGGTGAGGACATGAGAGGCAGGCCAGCTGTGGCCCAGGCCTCCCAGTGGGGTATGTGAGGGGAGCTAGGCTTACTTCCCCAACCTCACAGGGAAATTTGAACACAAAACCCAATGGACAACTAGGCAACACTCTTGAGTGATGCTCTGCTTGTGGCCACTTACATACAACACCTTGGGTGTGTATGGCGGCACAATCCTTCAGGTCTGTATCCTTTCTTCAGTAACCAGTAACTAGGAATCAGTCTTGAACCAGAAATGAAGAATGTTGAAACAAGATATATTTTTCCAGTGTTTTATTTATAACAGTGAAAAGGCAGAAACTACTTATGTGACCAATAATAAAGAAAAGATTAATTATGGAACAACCACAATGAAGTAACTACAAGCTAGTAAACTGTTGTTTATGAATATTTTAATGATACGGGAAAAAGACTGCTTTGTAACATTAAGTAAAGAAGTGGGACAAATAACCATGCTGACATAATTACACAGAACACCCCCAAGGAAAGCTGATCAGGAGGAAAGCCCCTTAGTGAGGCAGTGGCAACATTCTCCCTGCTCACCCGCCCCCTTGCCCTGGCAGCTGGTGGGCAGCTGGTGGAGACAGGACAGCGTTCTTGGACGAAGGAAGGTCTGCTGAGGTTTATTTTCAAACTAAGACCAAGGATGTCAGGGGCATGAACAGTGCCCCTTGAGTCAGGTGAAGTGACACAGCTGAGCCATCGGAGGAGTGGAGGCCACTCTTTGTCAGGTGGAGGTCAGTATGCATTTAGGTGGGTTTTGAAAATCCTCACCTTATGACAACTACTGGCAGATAATTACAAAGATCTCCTGAAAATTCTCCTGATATTTTTACCCCTAAGCTCATCATGAAATTACAACCAAGCCATCTGTCCAACTGATTCCAGACAACCTGGGAATCATTCAAACTTAACCAATTATCACGAGACCCACCTTCTGCATTCGGCAGCCCGGAATGGAAGACAACTGGGAAGAGAATCCCACTTCCCTTTCTTTCCACATCATTCAGGATTAAGTCACTTCAGAAACTACTTGTTCCTGTTTTCCTTTCTGTATTTGATCCTAAGGAACAGCAAAACCCAACCCACTCTGGAAGCCATCTGGGTCAGCAATGTAGGACCATGAAGAAAGGTCTAGCACAGAGCATCAAGTCCATGACACATTTCGTTACTAAAGTTTCTTTCACCTGTATCCTCCCCCCAGTTTCATTAATAATCAAAGTGGTTCTTTGAAAAGTTAAACCCACAGTGTTAATCACAGACTAGCTTTTACATGAAAAGCACAAGATTTCATAATTTAGGGCTTCCCTGGGGTCCAATGGTTAAGAATCTGCCTGACAAGGCAGGGGACATGGGTTTGATCCCTGGTCCGGGAGGATCCTACATGCTTCGGAGCAACTAAGTCCGTGTGCCACAGCTACTGAGCCCACATGCTGTAACTACTGAAGACTGTGCACCTAGAGTCCATGCTCTGCAGTGAGAAGCCACTGCAATGAGAAGCCCCCACACAAGTAGAAAGTAGCTCCCGCTAGTCACAACTAGAGAAAGCCCGTGCACAGCAACGAACACCCAGCACGGCCATAAATAAACTAATACATTAATTAATTAAAATTTAAAAGAAAAAGAGTTTAAAGTTATAGTTCAGGAACAGATGATAGAATTGGGAGATGAGGAAAAACGATTCTAGTCCCAGCTGTGCATGTCTGCGTAACTTCTGGCATCTTGTTCCTCTGCTCTGAGTCACCCAGACTAACCTCATATGCAAAATGGGGACCAAAATAAAGTGGATAGCACTTCAAACGGAGATGCAGCAGACACTTCCTTGGAAAATGCATGCCACCTCCTCAGACTCCTCATCACCGCTATCAGGCATTGGATTTATTCTCACCTCCCCCGACATCTGGGCTCACCTACGGCTTTCAGCATTGCCCTCTCTCTGGAGCCTGACTCCAGCTATGGCCACTCTGCTTCTGGATCTTACAAAACAACCCAACACAAGGTACCTGTCTTCACCCTTTGCTTGCTGTCTTCACAGCCCAAATTTAACCACATTGAAAATCAAGCTCATCCTCGTTACTGCCATCTTCTTCTTCCCTGTAGTATGTGTCCTCACTCTAAAAATCCGTGGATTCCCTTTTGTCAGAGCTCAAACCCTGAGACATGGCCCACTCATCTCTGCCTCAAGTGCAGCTCATGTTTCCTGCTTCTTGTGAGGCATCTCTTCCACTGCCTTTTGCTCATCACTCCCACTGCAAAGGTATCCTCAACAGCCTTCTTGAGATCCAATTCATGGCCAGGGTGATGGCCCTTAGTATAACTTTATTCAAAAATCTACAGGGTTCTCTGCTTACTGCTGCAGTGTCCAAATGACATTTTAGTTCCCTCTACTTCAACAAAAGCTTGCTTGGAATTAAGGAAAGTGGAGCTCCGATGTCTGGAAGGGTGAGGACTGGGAGCTACCAGCTTCTTAGCAGCCTCCCTAGATGGTCATTGTGAGGTCTCCAAGGAGCAAGGGTGAAACCACTGTCATTGGAGTTAGGTAGAAAATTCCCAGTTGGCTTCAATGCCATCAGTTTGACACATTAAACTTTGAAACTAGTTCCCTCTGGTCAGGTCCATAACCTCACAGTTGGACAAAAACATCAAACTCGGTCTCCTTTCATTTGTCCACTTGCAATAGCCTCCCACCTGCCTTGGGCTGGTTCCGGTTCAGTCTTCACAAGCAAAGCCCAACCTCCCTGTCCATGAAGACATCTTGACCATGACAGCCTGTGTTCAGGTCCATTGCAACAGCATCTCCCTCGGAATTCCTCTGGCAGCCTGTCGATCACTTACTTTTCTTCTTTTTATTTATTCACGGTTGCTCCGTGATGTTGATTATCTGTGTAACTATGTAATAAATTCCTTGTGGGCAATGACTTACTTTCCTCGATATAAATCAATCTCCTCGTAGATTCCAGTGGAGTGCTGAGCACACGCACGAGCTCACAGCCCACACATCTGACTCACGTTACTTCCCTGCTTAAGAACAGCTGCTCACACTCGGCCAGCAGCTCCCCAAACTCCATGAGGCTGTGTGGCTGACATGGAGAGCCACTGCCCAGATCCCCAAGAGAGGCTGGCTGCTCAGCAGGGGAGCGTATTCGGGGACACTGTCCAGCTGGGCAGTGAAGCTGTCTCAGCTGTCAGACTGGTCTCCAGCTGACGACCCTGGGGCTGAGACGTAGGGCTTCCCCAGGCGGTCCATGCTTAGCAGCCGAGCCTCGTGGCCGCTGCTTCCTTGTCTCCCTCTGTGCTTCTCCTCAGTAAGCTTGTGTCCCTTGTCTCCACATCTGCCCCCATCAACCGGCCAGCAGTGTGGTCTGGGGTAGATGTCAGGACTCTGCTTCTGTGGGTTCCTTTTTATGTCTCCCCAGCTTTCTCCCTCACCAACACGCCAAAGTCCAGCAACATGGAACTTGTCCTCCTCAAACAGCCCACGTGCCCCTGGACCTGCGCAGACACCCCTCTGCCTTCCTGGCTCAGGAAATTGGAGCAATTTTGACATTCTGCCTCTTCCCTCATTTCTGCCAAGGGCTTCCCCTCCCCGGCTTTCTGGTTCTGCCCTGAAGCCCCCACAGAATCCATGGACGACAGCTGGTGTGCGGGCTACGTCTCCCACTAGGCTCAGGGCTCTTGGCCGGCAGGCCCACGTGCTTCCTCGTGCTAACCCAGTGCTCAGCGCACAGCGTCTAATGCATAACAGGTGCCCGATTCATATTTGATGAGTGAGTGGATGGATCCCTGCTGGATGATCACAGCTCTGTGAAAATAAAACACTAAGTGAAAAACTATGGTTTCCAAGAAAATGATGCAAGCTCACTAAACACACTCAAGTGATAACACAAAGAGCACTCCAAGTTTCATGATCAAAGGACCAACAGAAACATTCTGGTGCCCATTCCTCCAGATATCTCTTAATGCACAAAATCAAATAACCTTAATTGCACTGAAATAACAATACGAAAAGAGTTGCCACATTTCTAAAAATGTTTACATGTTTTAAAAACATCCACAAACATGCTTAGGAAAAAAGTCTGGGAGGGTCTGCATCAAAGCAGTAACAATGATTATCTTGGCATGGTGGACACTATGGATGATTTTAGTTTATTTTGCTTATCTGTATTCAATAATACATATGTTAAAAACACACTGCTTGCATAATAAATAAAAATGAAAATTAAAAAAAATTAAAAAAAAATTTTTAGCTGCACCATGCAGCATATGGGATCTTAATTCCCTGACCAAAGATTGAATCTGCCACCCTGCATTGTTAGCGTGGAGTCCTAACCACTGGACCACCAGGGAAGTCCCTGAAACTTATTTATTTAATAAGAGGGAAGCTAAACAAGTTTCCTGAAGAGAGAAAATATTTGGAAACTGCATGATTTT